GATTATCTTACATCAGGGTCAGGGAGCCACAAGCAACTTGTTAGAGCCAATGACCTTCGTGAGTCCTAGCACTTCATGGATACAATTGAGAATCTGACTCAGGAAAGTTTCCCAAAACAGTGCATTGTTAGTGCCTATTGTATAATATTTGCCAAAAGTGATTTTTGAGTTTGTAACTATCTGTACTGGCAACCTGAGTGAAAAAGTTACAATAATAATCTAGGGAACAGAAACATAGCATGTGATCCATATACTGTCTATAGGCTCATTTAAGAGAATTTCAAAAAATAAAACAAATTTGTAGAAATTATGAACTGAGGCTATGTCTATACTACTGGCATCTAGTGCAAGAAGATTTTTGAGGAAGAAATCTTCTGCAAAAATTTTTTGTGTAAGAGCGCATCCACACTGCAAAAGATGTACTTTTGCACAAGAGAGCGTCCAGACTGCAAGGACACTTTTTCTTGAAAGGAAACTCTGATTGCTATTTACAGAATGGCCACCAGGGCACCTGTGCTTTTTTCTATTGCCTCTTTCTGTGCAAAAACCCTCTTGCCCATCCACACACATCTTTTTTGGGGAAAAAAAGGAGTTATTCCTCATAGAAGAAAGGATACCTACACTGCAAAAACCCCTCTGCTCTTTCATTTTACTTGCACAAAAACGTGCTTGAGGTGTGGATGCTCCATGAGTTTTTGTGCAAAAGCTCTGTAGTGTAGACCTAGGCTTATTGTGCAAAAAAGCATGAGATAAAGTTGTTATAGGATTTACTCTTAATAATTTGGCTGAGGTTTGAATCAGAGAAGTCACGGACTAAATTCTGCTCTCAGTCACACAGGTGTAAATCTGGTTTGATATGCTGTAGAATTTGGCACATAGGGTAGATGTTTATAGCAACTACAACTTAGTCCTTTATATATATTTATATATATTTCCTAAACAAATGCCTGGTCAATCAGAATGCATTTTCATGCCAGGATGAAGAAAAATCAATGGGTTCAAGTGTGGGAAATGCTCATTCACTTTCTGCTTATGAATGATGAATCATAAACCTGCTCAGAATTATTCAGTTTTGAAAGACAGAATGTGAACCAGTTTTGATTTCAAACTATTTATTATCCCTAGGTTAGAAAGAAATTTCATTAGCTCTGTCACATATCTTTCTATAGTTATGGAGTTCTTGATTAATATTCTAGTTTATATTCATTTTATGAACATTAAAACAATCTGTATCAGCAAACTGCAATACAGGTTCCTTTTTTACCAGCAGGAGAGCACACCTGAGGACCACTGAAAAATCAAGCATTTTTATGTTCAATTCTGGTTATTGTATGTACAACCACCAATTTACTGCACAGTTACTCAATTTGTGCACGTGCAATGGCTGGTCTGTAGGCATAAATGCAAAGCTTTCTGTTCATAATCAGTGTGAGTGTTCCTCTAGGATGAAAATGTGTCTTTTATATAAATAGATGCTAAATACCATGTCACAAAATGATTTATATTGCCTTAATCAATACTGAACAATAAATAGTGATAAATTTGCCTTTATGTTACTTTTATTTAAAAAAGCACAACAATCTACTTCATTTTTCTTAATTCAAGTAGTGATACATGTACACATTTCATACTAATTTCAACCTCCCTTTAAAGCCATACCTAATGACAAATGGAAAAGAAATCTTTGTTAAACCACTGGACTATGAGTCAGTAGATTGGAGTTCTATTTCTGGATCTACCACAGAATGCATGTATGATCTTGAGTAAATTCACTTAGGGACAGATTTTTAAAGGTATTTAGGCACTAAAGATGCAGATTGACTCATCCACTCTCTTGCAAAGTTTCCTTATCTGAAATAATGATAAACTCTAATTATTTCACAGGGATATTAGAAGGCTTAATTATTTAATGTTTGTAAAATAGTTTGTGATCTTCAGTGGACATGATGAACAAGTACAGGTAATAACTAAAAAGAAAAAGTTAAATGACAAAGTCTCATTCAATTACATCCCATAATTCCAGATACCTAAAAATTTACATATTTTAAAAGTGCTTGTATACAAATCTTGAGTATTAAAATGAGTGAACTTTTATACCTGATACTATTGATATAACAACATCACAGAAACTTGGTGGAACAATGACAACCAAGGGGACATGGCAATACCAGGGAACAAAATGTATCGGAGTGACAGAGCAGGTCATGTTGGTTGGTGAGTGGCATTGTATGTGAAAGAAAGCATTGAGACAAATATAGTCAAAATCTTAAATGACTCAAATTTTCCCATAGATTCACACTGGATAGAAATTCCATGCTTCAATAATAAGAGTGTAATGGTAGCAATCTACTACCAATGATCTGACTAGGATGGTGATGGTGACTGTGAAATGCTCAGGGAGATTAGAGAGACTATAAAAGTAGAAAACTCAATAATTATGGATTATTTCAACTATCCCTATATTAACTGTATATGTCATCTCAGAATGGGCTGACTTCATAGAATTTCTAGACATCATAGATGACTCCTTCTTAGAGCAGTTAATATTGGAACCCACAGGGGGAGTCAATTCCTGATTTAGTCTTTAATGTAGCAGGGGCAGGAAGAGGTGGGAAGACGCGAGGTGAGGGTGGAGTGAAGACAGACTAGAGGCAGCTGGGGGAAGAGGCCTGGGTTAGAGTCACAGGTTGTCCTTGGCCCAGCACTCCCCCTAGGGACATCCCTGAGTGAAATAATGCAAAAATAAACTTTAGAAAACAGTCTCCTAATAATAGATTTAATTTTTAAAAAATTGTAAAAAAATATTTCTTCTGCACATTGTCAAATATAATGTGCAAAATCCATGCTGGTGGTGGTTGTTGTTCTTTGGATTGAAGGTTTTATTGATATTTGTTGGGGTGATTTGAATTGCTCTCTTTTGACTTCCCCACTTACAATTAATATGTATAAATTACTTAAATACATGTATAATTTATTATATTAATATATTCTAGAATTTCATTTTTAAAACCTGTTTCAAGAGAACATTTAATGTTGTATTGGTAAACCCTCAGAAGTCAGTAGTAGCATGGGCAAGCTTAACTCTGCCCCCGGGACAATTACAATATATTCTCTAATTGCATGATCACATGTTGGTTCTCAAATTATACAATATAATAACATTTCCTACTAACTTAAATGTAAATATGTGTCATTTTGCAGTACTTTGTATAGGACAGAACATCCATTTAAACTGTCAACATTTTGCAAAACTTAATATACAGTGAAATATTGTGAAATAATAGTGAAGATTACTGGCATATATAGCTCACTGGATTCAAAGTTAGATTATTGTATCATTTCCTGAATTATGTACAAAAAAGGCTATGTTATATGGATCAGTTAGTGATCTCATTGACTGTCTCATACCTGAATTAAGCTAAGGAATTCTGTGTTGTTGTCAACATTTGTATAGTAATACATACATCTGACAGAATATGCCAAAAATCAAAATGTCTAAGGCTTCCACTTTCTCCTATGACCCAGATATTTTACACAAAGCAACTGGAGGCTATGTCTACACTACAGAGATCTATTGGTAAAAGGTACAGAAATTACACTCTGCAATTTACGTACCTTTTTCTGATAGTTTTTTCGGAACAGGCTTTTCTGAAATTTGGCCTATCTACGTTGGGCTATATTTCAGAAAAGCCTCCTTTTTTTGGAGCCTTTTTTCCTCATGGGTGAAGGAAGACAGGGCTTCCAAAAAAGCGTGTCTGTTCTTCCGAAAAAAAAAAAAGCAGAAGAGCAGACACATTCTCTGGACACAGCAAAGATTTTCCGGAATACCAGAGGTAACCCAGAAAAACCCCTTAGTGTAGACATAGCCTGGAAATCTAGTTTAATCGGCTGTCTTGTGGATTCATATCGGGCACTGTAAATACCAGCTCTGTGTTATCCTATCCTGAATTCCTTATGACTCCATGCAACTGGATGTAATTTAGAGCATACCTGTGAGTTTCCTAAATTTTCGTGGGGGCTTAATCAGACCCTCCATGATCAGTTAGCCACAAAAGTGACATCCAGCTGGGCATGCCTAAGAAACTGGGTCTATGTCCATAAAGATTTATTGGATTCCATTACACTGAGAATAGAATAGCTATGAAACAAATGAAAATCAAAAAGTGAAAGCTATTACCTATATGTATGGTATTATCTACAATATAGATGGGTATATAAATTTTATATTTGTAAGTGTACATGTGCATGTCTGTATACACACAAAAAACATATAAACTGTAAACTCATTTGTCTTATGCTTACTAATCCATGTCCCCAGGAGTTTATTCTAACATTCCAAACCTCTTAGAAATGTCAAAGAGCTGCCCCTTTTAAAATGAACCTATATCAGGAATGGTTCTTCTTTCATCCTTTAAATGTGGAATTCCCTTCCAATTGGACATTGACCTGAGACCCATGATGGGAAAGATTCACTCCTGTTCCAGTAATAGCTTTTCTATGCATAAAAACCAACTCATTTTAAAGTCCATGATTCTTTAGTCCTTCCAGGTTTAGAAACAGAAACTTTATACTAGTAGAAAGGAAAGTCTCCCACCTTCCCTGAAGAAGTAGCACTCACTTCTCTTCCTGGAAGGATCCAGGATAACAAGGCTGATCTCAGATACAGAAGCTATTTTAGGGGAATGTGGGTGAAGGTATGGGAGGGTATATGAGAGAGAGAGAGAGAGAGAGAGAGAGAAAGATGCAAGTATAATATATGAATATTTATGAAATGTAGTAGTAAATGAATGCAGAAGTTAATTTACTTTTCGAAATCTGTATATGCACTGTATGCTGCTTTTTAACCAACGTTTTGTAGATAAGACCAATTCAACATTGGCGATCAAATAAATGTTGCAATTGACCTAGTTTGAAAAAGATGAATTGCCAAGCAGTTCCTAACTCCATTAATGGGTTAATAACTTTAGTATGCTATTCTTTTTTGAAAAGGCTTATTTAAATGTTTATCAGTTGTGCAAAGTGGAGCAGCGCTGGAGAATCACAAGGGAGAACTGATCATTGCCTATGCATGGAAGCGTTGTAGGAAGATTAAAATAACATTGAGTATATTCTGTAAATGAAGGAGAGAACTAAAAGAAGCCTCCAGAGTCCATTATAAATTTTAATAATACATCAAGGTAATGTAACTGAATAACCGATCTCTGAGGGAAGAAACACAACATTTGGCTAATATTACAATTTAAATTATGAAAACAAAAAGAGCTTTTAGTTAATCTTGTCTTTCTGCTTTTATTCTTCAGGCTCTTTTTTATTTTCCCTGAATCCAAAACACCATGTAAACAAATAAAAGTACGGGAGAAAATAAACAGTTTGGCATCTCAGTAGATTAATTAATGCGCTTCAGCCTTGGCACCAGTAGGCGAAAATTATGTGCATAAATAATATCACTAATTAAAAAGATGCAGATTAACATGCAAATAATGTTAATGAGGATCTGCAATTCCAGAGTGGATTCGCATAACATCAACAATTTAATGGGTTGGAAGGCTTGTGTTTGCATTACATTAATAAATTTCAAAGACCTTGCATAAAAAAGTTCTGTTGGAGCCTCTGCTTCCCACTTGTGAGTTGTAAATTCTGTGGGCAGTAGCAAACGCTCATCGGCAGATGCCAAAGTCATTATCTCAAAGACTGTTGAGATGGTGCCATGTGCCAGTGTGACCAGCTGTTGGGAACTGGGCAGTAGGCACTGCACTGTGCCAATTATTCATATTATTTGGGTAGTCTTGATATTTATTTAAACTGATTAATATTTTGTGCTCTGCATCTTGATCTGGAGGGAAATCATTTTAAGCAAGCAAAGTTTTAAAAAAATCTTATTAGCCTTTGATGTGTCATGGATGGTTGAATGCATAATGAAATTGATTAAGCAGACATAATTTTTAACCATAGGCAAAAACAATATAAGATGTCTTTAATGATGTCATATAATGTTGAGATAAAATATCCCAGCATTACATTCCAAATGAATCATAATAACCCAGATATTAGTTAAAAATGAGAAATGTTACACTGCAGAATCTTTTATTGTCTGTTGAACTGGGGAATGTTCCTCTGAGGATGCTGCTTACACAAAGAGCAAAGGTTAGGAAAGATTAGAGCCAACTCATTTTTTAAATGCCATGTAGCTCTTCATTAATTTCCTCTTCCCATTTCTTTGCTAATGCCCAGCCCAAACCCAAGCATTCCATTGTAGCCCTGGAAATATCATGACTGCAAATGATGCAGCAATAAATATGTCAAATTATAACACTGCCTATTTTCTATAGTATGAAGTTCAACTACAATGGCCTCAAAGGTCTTATTTCAAAATTGGAAGTGTCTACACAGCACTTATTTCGAAATAGAACACTCTTCCTCTGACTTCCCTTACTCTTTGTACAATGAGGGTTACAGGAGTCAGAGTCAGAGGCCTGCAGCTTGACAGTATTTCAACTTTATTTTGAAATAACTGCCTGCTGTGTAGACGCAGACTGTGTTATTTGGAAATAACACTAATTATTTGGAAATAATGTTGCTGTGTAGATGTATCCAAACAGTTGTTGTCTTCTTTGGTGATAAGATGGCTTTCCTGATTATAGAGCTAAAAGCAGAAATCAAAAGTTGGGCCACCCAAAATCTTTTTTGACAGGTGTAAACATTATTTTTTGTAATTGCAATGTTTTATATGTGTGCACTATTCAGCAAGGTTTCAGTAGACAGCGAAAACATATTACCAATTACTTAATCCTCTTTACAGTACTTTGAAGATGAGAAGCTATACAAAAATATTTTGCAAGAAGTAGTGGTAAGTCACATACAGAAAGAGTCTCTACAAAAATGGGAATTTATGGTCCATGGATACTAATCCTCTGTACACAATACATATTTTTCTCTCATTTTGGGCTAAGGATGCTATAAGTCGAGCATAATTAAATTGCAGTTGCAGTGGAGATATGGCAATTATGTGCCTTATCTTTGAAAAAAGTACATTGAGTTAAGTTTAAGTATCTTTATAGTCCATTGCACTAAATGAAAAGTTTATGTATTAGTGTGTGCTGGTATTGTCTGTTACCTCTCAGAGGGCAGGGAGCAGAAATTATATGAACCCTGAGAAGTCATGAACTTCTCAGGTCTGTACTGAACAATCTGCCACACAAGAATGGACTTTGGGATAGATACTGTCAAGTGGTAGAGTTTGTGATTCTAAGGATTGGAAGAAGGGAGAACTGCAAAATAAAGATGATGGATTTCAAGTAGGCAGACTTTAGCAAATTCCGGAATTTGGTATGTGAGAGTCTCTGTGAAGCATATCTCAGAAGAAAAAAAAATTGAGGACAGTTGGAAGACTTGCTAAGAGACACAATTATAAGGGCACAAAAGCAAACTATCCCACTGCATAGGAAATCCATGAAGTATGGTAAGAGACCACCTTGGCTTAACAGGATAACTTCAATGATTTAAAAATTTTAAAAAAGTCCTACAAAAAGTGCAAAATTGGTAAAATTGTAAAGGATTAATATTAACAAATAATAGAAATAAGTAGGGACAAAATTAGAAAAGCTGAAACACAAGAAGAAATCAAACTAGCCAGAGTCATGAAGTACAAAAAAGAAAATATTCTACAAATACTTTGGAAGTAAGAAAAAGACTAAGGGGCCCACATTTCAATGGTGATGGTGGGGAGAATGACAAAAAATGTGGAAATGGTAGAAGTGATTAGTAACTTCTTTGTTTCAGGTTTCACCTGGAAGCTTCGTGCTGATTAGACGTCTCATGTAGTGAATGCCCATGAAAATGAGGTATTAGCAGAAGTTAAAATAGATAAATGACATGTTAAAAATTATTTAAAGAAGTAAGATGTCTTAAAGTCACCAGGGTCTGATGAAAGGCATGCTAGAGTACTCAAGGAGCTGACTGAAAAGATAGTTGAACCATTAGCAATTATATTTAAAGAGTCAGGGAAGACGAGAGAGATTCCAGAAGACTGAAAACAGACAAATATAGTGCCCATCTCTAAAAAGGAAAATAATAGCAATGCTGGAAATTACAGGTAAGGTATCTTAACTCCTGTACCCAGAAAGATAATGGAATGAATAATTTAGCAATTTGCAAACATCTAGAAGATAATAAAGTGATAAGTAACAGTCAGTATGGATTTGCCAAGAACAGATCAGGTTCAAACTAAGCTGTTAGCTTTTTTTGACACAGTAACAAGCCTTATGGATAGGAGGGAAGAGGTAGATGTTTTGTATCTTGATGTTAGTAAAGCTTCTGATATTGTCTCACTTGATCTTCTTATAAATAAATTAGGGAAACACAACCTAGATGGAGCTATTATAAGGTTGCTATATAAAGAAAGCCATGGCCAGAGAGTAGTTAGCAATGGTTCATAGTCATGCTGGAAAAGCATAATGAGTTGGATCCCATAGGGATCAGTACTGGGTCAGGTTCTATTTGATATTGTCATCAATTATTTAGATAATGGCACAGAGATAACACAACATTTACAGACAATACTAAGCTGGGAGGGGCTGCAACTGCTTTGGAGGATGGGATTATAATTCAAAATGATCTGGACAAACTGGAGAAATGGTCTGAAGTAAATAGGATGAAATTAAATAAGGTTAAAAGCAAGGTACTCCACTTCAGAAGGAATAATTAGTTGAACACACACAAAATAGGAAATGACTACAGTACTGCAGAAAGGGATCTGGGATCACAGTGGACCATAAGCTAAAATTGAGTCACCAAGGAAACACTGTTGCACAACAAACAAACAAAAAACCCACATCATTTTAGGGTATGCTAGTAGGAGTGTTGTAGTAAAACACTTTTGAACTATTCCACACTGATTATGCCTCAGATGGAGTATTGTGTCCACTTATGGGTTCCTCATTTCATGGAAGAGGTGGATAAATTGGGAAAAGCCCAGAGAAGAGCTACAAAAAGATCTAGAAAATCTGACCTGTGGGGGAAGTTTGAAAGAACTGAATTTGTTTGGTCTGGAAAAGAGAAGACAGGGAGGAGACATAATAACAGTTTTCAAGTACACAAAAGGTTGTTACAAAGAGGACAGAGAAAAATTGTTACATAACATAAGAACGGCCATACTGGGTCAAGACAAAGCCAAGTTAGCTCAATAGCCTGTCTTCTGACAGTGGCCATTGCTAGGTGCCCCAGAGGGAATGAAAAGAACAGGTAATCATCAAGTGATTCCTCTCCTGTCACCCATTCATGCTTATTGTTGTCCTTAATCACTAAGGATAGGCCAAGAAGCAGCCAGGGAGGTTTAGGTTGGACAGAAAAACTTTCTGTCATGGTGGTGCCACACTGGAATAAATTGCCTAGGGAGGTTATTTAATCTCCATGTTTCGAGATTTTTGAGAGCTGATTAGACAAACCACTGTCAGGGGTGGTTTAGATAATATTTTGTCCGGCCATCAGGGGGCTGGGTTAAATGGCTTCCCAATGCCCTTTACAATTCTATGAGTCTATTATTCTGTATAACTGTAGAAAGCCTCCTTTCTGGGATTTGAAGGTCTGACTTTTATTAGCACGCATGTAGATTCTTTTATTGATTTTGATATGTTTTCTCTGTAATGTTTTCACCTTAAGAATAAAAGTTCTTCCTCGTAGGACTGTATGATAACTTGTTACTTCTTGTAATTACAGCTGTTTCTAGCCTTTGAAGAGAATGCAAAGGACTGTTTAGGCAATCTGACTTGCTGGAAATAACTCCGTGTAAGCAGGGAACTATGGAACTTGGAGAAAAAAATACCTGGTGAAGAGGAAGAAATGTTCTGGTCTCAGCCCAAAAAGGTGACAACTGAAGAGCTTGGAAGCCTGAAGCATGTGCTCTTAGTAGACCACGGAGGAAGAATCCAGGTGCAGTTTGAAATATTACAGTTATACTTTTTGCTGTACCCATAACTACCATTAATTCCATGTACCATTCATTTAATAATAGTGTAAATACAATGGTGATGATCTATCATGGTTCTATTAGTATATATTAAGAAGAAAACAAAAAAGGCAATCTTTGTATATGAATTAAAGGTAATTACATTTTGAAAAGGAAAATCGAAGCATCGTTAGACTGTAATTACAGCACCCTTCTTAAAATGTGCTAAATATCTAACACATATGTACCTCTCTGAAATGGCTGATCACTTGAATTCATACATGTATTAGTTTTATAGGCATGTGGTTAATTTTTCCTTATGTACAAATGTTAGACTAAGGTGCATATGCAGATTTTAGAATTTTCCCACCATGATGGTGTTTGCACACAGAAAAGGGAGTGCACAGGGATGTAACACACATAAAAGAATCTGTCCTTTGTAGAAGATATTAATCTCAATACATTAATTTTCCAAACTGAAAAACGAGGAGATAATACTAACCTATCTATTAGGAGTGTTATGATGATTACTCATGTTTATAAAGCATGTTACATATGAAAAGTCTGTATAAATGCTAAATATTATGTTTATTCTCTATCCATGTTGACACTCTGAAAACTTTGACATAGCAGTTTTGACTTACACTATTTCCTAGTGTTTCAGGCACTGGCCTAGGATATAGGTGACCCCCCCCCCCCTGCAGTGGGAGGAAGCATGGCACACTTCTACCAATGAGGAGGCAGTAACTGTGTGCCCTTCTGAAGGAGAGGAAACCCAGTATGAAACCCAGAGGGCCTGGAAACATTGCTGCTTCATCTGGGATCAGCCTGGATCCAGAGTGATTGCTTTGCCAGCTATCTCTCCGTCTCCTCTCATTCAAGATGCACCTCAAACATCTCTGCTCAAAGACATGTGCATGTCTAACTCCCATTGAACTAGGTGCAATTGAAAATCTTGACTCATACTTGCATCTTTAGTTGCCAAAATACCTTTAAAATCTGGGTCTAATTTAACTGACATCAGTGAAGCTAGCTAGCTTCTGCGCAACTTCAACACCACAGCGCATTCTAGCACCAGTCTCATACATTAATTCAGTACAAATTCAAAGGGAAAAATGTTGTCCACGAGGCCTAGAACCACTTTCTTTAGTGCACTTGGAGTGTATTTCACCAAAGTCTTTTAATTCAATTTAAGTGATTGCCAGTTAGCTCAAGTTAAGTAATATGTTTGTGTGTGCTAGTCAGAATACTACACAGACATGGTACAAAGCACAAATAATGTTTGTGTTTTACCCTAAAATGAGCCCTGGAGTGTCCAGAATGATATATACAATTGTGTTTACAAACTCAAATTAACTGAAAATGAGTTAACTACTCAAGCTAAAGGAGAAAAAAAAAACAAAACTTGAGTGTATGCAAACCCCTGGTTTTCCTTGTTTGTCTCCCATCTGACTAGTCCTTACACCTCTGAGCTTTTGTGAACTCGCATATTCACAGCTGGAGGTAACATGTTGCCAACAAAAGTTAATATCAAATCTCATTTGTTATGCTATTCTTTGTGTTTTATACATGGGTATATAGAGATTAAAAGAATACACCATGGAGAAAAATAGAATAAATATTTGTTTATTTTTCTGAATATAGGATGCTATCATAAATTTCAAATTATCATGCTCCCTCTCATACATGTAGGACATAATTTTCCACTCCATTACTTCAGATTTATCCCTGTGTGAGTGACACAGAAGTATAAAACTTATGTAAAAGAGCAGTGAGTAAAATCCTAAGTATTTTATAGGAGTGTTTGTTTCAGGCTTATGTATAATTAGAGAAACAATAATTCAATAGAATCAAAGTCCTTGGTAAGGAGTAACAAGGAATTTATTTAAAAAAATGTAATTTAACATTTTTAAATTCAAAATATTATTTAAACTAAAGAGGTCAAAATTTTGAACTCCCCTGTTTCTGTTTATTCTTTTAGCAGCTCCTCATCTCGAATTTTTAGATTGATCCTATTAGCTGCAAATTCACTGACCTCTTTATTTAGAAACATTTTTCCACAAAATTGCTGAAAGTTTGAAAAAAAAGGTTTCATACATTTGAAAATGATGTATTAACTTGAAACGTAAACAATGTATATCCACACTCTGTATCTTTGTGCCTTTGATTAGTTAGTTGCTCGCACTTTTAAAAAACATATAGAATTCTGGTTTAGCTAAATACACTGACCTGGCCAGTAACAAAAACTATATCTTATTTATTCTGTTTGAATCATATTAATTTTCCATTAATGAAAATAATGTGATGGACTTGATTCAGGTCTGCAGTACACTTTGTCCTTTGATTAGTTAGTGGCTCACACTGTTGTAACTCCGTTAATTTCAGTGAAGATGCACTGGAGTAATAAAGTAGTAAATCAGGACCCAGATATTCATTTTCATGAATCCTGGGGAAAAAAGAATAGAAGTGTACATGCTCTGCACCGCGTAATCCAAATAATGACAACTTGCTGAGTGGTCTGTGACTTTTAATTAGAGCTACAAAGACCAGTTCATCTGACTTTTAAACTTCAGTAAATAAATAACTTGTTTTCCTTTTGGCTTGCCAGGCCTGAAGTGTAGTCCTGGGTTTTGAAGAGCTCTCCTTTTAATCCAAACCTAAAATAACATTTATTGAATTGGAATTTCTGTCATCTATATGCAGTGAAATAAATATAAAGGTATTACACTAATGCAATGAGCCACTTAACCAACCAGGTTAAGTTAGGTGGTTGTACTGTAGGTTGTAGATTATTTCTTTTAAAATGATCAATCGTTATGGAATGTACACAATATGAGGATAAGCCATTTCTCTAACACTAATCTTCTTCACTTGCTCATCTAAATATATGTGCTGCATCACACATTTCTGTTAAACAACAGAGGCAGCAATTCAACACTGAAAATTGTAGTTAGATTTATCAGATGGTTTTAATTTTTTCTTAGACTTGAATCCGCAGGGGATTTAAATATCCCCCACGGCATTTGCATTTACATGGCTGCCGCTTTTTTCCGGCTCGGGGTTTTTGCCGGAGAAAAGCGCCAGTTCTTGAAAGTAGGAATAAGGGATCCTCCGGAAAAGGGCTTATTTTCCGGAAAATCGCATCCAGACTGGTGCTTTTCTCCGGCAAAAACCCCGAGCCGGAAAAAAGCGGCAGCCATGTAAATGCAAATGCCGTGGGGGATATTTAAATCCCCTGCGGATTTGCAATTCCGAAGTGTCTAATCTGCATCCCTTTTCCGGAAAAGGGGTGCAGAGTAGACATAGCTGAGATGTTTCCCGATAGATAGCAAAGCATAGATTTCCAGCTTATACTAATTTTGTGTTTGGACAAATAACTTTTTACCCTTAGTTTGGTTTGAACATTGCTCTTTCAGTTTGACCATCTAAACACAGAGTTTCAATGCAATATGAAGCTTAATTCCAATGCTCGATTTATCTTTTTTATATCAAAATAGTATCCCCAAAAGGGTATTGTATCTTCTACTTAGATCCATGGTTCAAATAGATACCAGGTCAGTAGTGGGTGAATTTAAGTACCAAACATGGACATATAAGTGACCCATGAATGATATATTGTTGAACAGTTACCCATTTCCTAAAAACACAATGCTAGAAGTTGGTATCATTGATGTCCTCTGTATCGAGAAACTAAATATAAAGGCTGGATTGGGTATGACTGCAGTCCAGAGTTCACAAGCCTCTCCATGTTATAACATGAGCAGAGTGATCAAGCACTCTTATTTTTCAAATGACAGGGACTTTTCTTTCCAAGCACAAGGGATGTTGGAAAGGCCAGACATATAGTTGAGTTTATAAAAGATTCAGATAAGCTCATGGAAGATAGACCATTGATTAGCCATGAGAGTCAGGGATGGAACTCTATGCTTTGGAGATCTCTGAGCTTTTGAATTGCAGCTGCTAGGGATGAACAACAAGGAATGGATCATCTCATAATTATCTTGTTTTGCGTATTCCTTTTGAAACATATGATATTGGCTTCCGGTGGGAAGACAAGATATTGAGCTAGGTGGCCCAGTGATCTGATCTAGCATGGCTGTTCTTATGTTCTGATGGTCTTATGAATGCACCTAATATTCAACCTTCTGCTTCATAATGTAGCCAAAATGTGTTATTTTAGCATTGGTATAAGAATATAAGTATAATGATAGTAGTAAGTCCTATGCAATGATTTGCTTATAAGTTCTATATGATTTCACCTAGCCACCCCTGCTTCTTGTTAGCATCACAAATGAAGTTCACCTCTTTCCTACATTGAAAATGAAGTTATGTGGGGCTTTTGAAATTTCTTTATTAATTATGTAATCCTTTGTCTGAAATTCTCTGCAGAATTGTTCGGTGTGAGTGAAGGATTGTATGCATAATGAAGGATAAGAGTGAAAGCCATCACAAATGTCCAGATGGTCAAGAAGACATGAGAAACTTGTAGATGATCAGAAAACAATGGTACCTGAGGCCGAATGAATTGGCAGAACTGATGAACCTTGGAGATAGGCAGATACTCCCAAATGTGAGATGACAAATGAGATAACAACAGAAAGCCTGACAATAACTATGAAAGGTTAATTGTGGGAAAAACCCAAGATTAACACCGCTTGAAGATCAAGGATTGTAGCATGACACTGTAAAACCCATAGACTCAAATGGGGATTTATAAGTATAAAAATGGGGTGTTTTTGCTATAGTTCTCTAGGGGTATGTCTAGACTACATGCGTCTGCCGACAGAGGCATGCAAATTAGACATACCGACATAGTCAATGAAGTGGGGATTTAAATATCAGCCGCTTCATTAAAATAAAAATGTCCACTGCGTTGTGCCAGCTCAGCTGTTTGTCAGCACAAAGCGGCAGTCAAGACGGGGATCGGTCACCAAGGAAAGT